AGAAACATGCAACATCTAGAAGATGTAGTTTTTCAAGTTTTAAGGTAGGTTTTTCAGATTTTGATCCTGAAATAATGGTGGGTATGTATTTGTTTCAATTAAACTTTGAATAAAATTGAGTTCAGAGGATTTTTTGTTTTACAATTACATATCTTGCTTTTTGGTTCATGAAAGGACTGAGATGTGCTTTCAGACCAGCCAGCCATGATACTTATCCCACCACCTTCTACTGGATAGAATACAGCTGTTGTATTTCATGGTTAATTTGTTACTGTTTTGGTATCCAGGAGCAAGGGGCCTGAAAGAAGAATGTTAAGTGCAGTGTGTTTTGATGATCCTCCTGATACTGTTATGAATCTAAAAGATTGGTTGTGTGTGTTGTGTTAAAAGCCCCAGTTCTTAGAATAGGTGATTGCCTGATAAATAATCTCAGCTTTCTTTTTTTCTTTTTTTGTATGAAAGCAAGCACTTAGCTCTCATGATCATGGAGAAAAGCTAAAATATTTTGAATCATAAAAGGATCAAAACTGGATTGCAAATAAAAAAAAGTCTGATATTTGAAAAAATAATCATGATTTTTGGGCCTGATCCATAATTCTTGAATTATTAGAGTTGTCAACACTGTAAGGTCTTCAACTGACAACCAACCAAGTGACGTTTCACCTAAAGCAAGCTTGTACTGTGGGCTGTGTGTTTTAGGGGCACATTCTAACCCTCAGCTTAACAGTGTTCCCACTGTCAGTGATCATTACAGTCTACTTAGGACATGGGACTGAAATACCAGTAGACATGAAAAGCAGAAGAAACATTGGAGGTTAAATATTGAGTCCATATATTTAAGAGGAACTTTGGGAGATTTGGGATATAAGGCATATTTGCTCTTTTTCTTGTGCTATTGTCTTCAAAAATAACCAAACAAACACAGTTTTGTTGAATGTCTGTGAGTTGAAAAATCTCAGCTAATATTGTGTCATTAAAAACAGTGTAGGCCGAGTGGAGATATCATTCAGGTTTCCTTTTACTGCCATAAAAATACATTGTTATCAGATCACATTGATTTGCTCCAAGGCAAAGTGTGCATGTGTGTACATATAAGGCTACTGATGCTTTTCAGTCTTTAGAACATTTTTCTAATTAAAAAGGAGGGGAAGGAGAAATAGTTTGGGAGGCCAAATCCACTCAGTATAGTAATTGTCTGATGATAAGCAATATATTGTCTTAAAGATATAGCCATTGTTTGATTTCTACTATATGCAGCCATCTGAATCATATTTTTTAAAAATTCAGCATTAAGAGCAAGGTTAATAATATAGTCACACAATCATGATAGCCACTTCATGTCAGTGAGTGGAATTCAAACATACAGTTTTTGCTTCATGACTGGCTGAGCTTTACATCCCTGCTACATGTCCCATATATGACACAATTAACTGGTTAATTGCAAAATAAATTTAGACCAGCCACACATGCAAAATAATTATGATATGATTAAAATTACTATCTAGTTATAAAATGAACCAACCAGCTATAAAGTGAGTGCTTTGCAATGTGTAACAACTGTACAGCTGGTTTCTATTCAGCTTTAATTTGAATGTGTATCAAGGTCCTCAGTTACCTAGAAGGCCTGAGAATACTACACATAAATACAACATCATATGTGTAATGGACTAAAGCTTCTCTGTTATATTTTTATATTGTGTCTTGGAGAAATGTGCCTAAAAATCCCTTTCTACTTCTACCCTCATGACTTCCCTCTTACTGGTCCTTGTTTTGCCTAGTCCTTCAGACTTCCACTTCAGTCCCTCTGTTCAGATTTTCTATTGTGTTTACCTACTTGTTTGGGTGTCTCCCTTTGCTCTGCTAAATCCTTGGTGTCTTTGTTCCATGACACTTCCTTCTCTGTTATTGATTATGAGAGGGAACATGGACCCTCTCAGGGAGGAGGACAGGGTGGAGGGCGTGGAGGAGGAGGCAGGGACAGAGGGGAGCAAGGAAGGACCCTGTGTTACTCTCAAGTCTCTGCTTTTGTATTGTCCTTCCCTCCTGATGACCCCTGATGATTTCATCTGTGGCTATCACTGGTTGGTTGTCTTGCTGTGGTCACACGTCCATGTAGCCTTCTGGGCCTTCTCTTAATCTGGTGGGCTCCCCCAAAACTGAGACTCAGGCCCCCTGCTCTAGGGCCTTGTTAGCTGATGTCTGTGTGTGTGAGACCCAGACTCAATTAACCCCCAGAAATCAATTAACCCCTGCTGCCCATCTTGAACTATTCTAATACATATACATATGCATGCCAATTCCCAAAAAGCAAAACTTTCAATACCATTTCTAAGCCAACGTGGGTAATATTACATTTCTACTTAATGTCCCCTTGCTACCTCTTTGAAAGTAGTTGCTGTGAGGTGGCTAACTACAAAAAAGGTTTGAGGAAGAGGTTGCAATGCAAGCTGCATGAGAAAATGTTGAAGGAAGTAGGTATGATTAATTTGGAGAGAGATACATCAAGGGGAATATGACAGAAGTTTACAGATGTTTGACAGGCATCCCTAAAGAAGGGAGTAAAATTATGCTCTTGCCATGAGGCCGTGTGCTTCAAATACTGCAATGCAGACTTATCTCAAATCTCTGTGGGAACTTCATTAGGAAGAGGTGCTTGACAATAGAATAAGCTTTGTAGGGGAATTCATAGAATCTCCTTCATTGGAGATTTTCAATAGATAGATTTTTTATAGTTTAGGAATAGTGCATGCTGCATCTGTTCGAGGAGTTAAAATAGAAGACTCATGATGCCCTCCTTTGGTCCTGTGTATGTAAAATTCAATGGCAAAAGTATTTTGGTAAATTAAATAAAAAAACAGATGTCTGTTGAAGCAGGTTAAAATATGAGAGTGCCTGGCTGCTATATAGATATTTCCAGTGAGATTTATACTGCCAGTGGACTGGAGATTGCACATAGTTAGTATCAAGCAACTAAATTTCCAAGCAACCTTAATGTCACTGGAAGCCACAACTGAACACCATTGATAGAAACCAGGAACAAAATAAATGCCAATGATGCGTTTTTTCTTCTGTCTTTTCTTGATAAATACCAAATATATGTACCAATGACATTATGTTGTTTTAACTATCTCTAACAACAAGTTAGAGAGCTTCTGGAGGGGCTGGACGCGTTCAAGTCAGCGGGTCCGGATGCTCTCCACCCCAGGGTGTTGAGGGAGCTGGCTGGGGTTATTGCAGGGCCCCTGGCACGGCTCTATGAGCGATCGTGGTGCTTGGGACAGGTGCCAGATGTTTGGAAGGTAGCAAATGTGGTCCCCATCTTCAAGAAAGGGAAGAGGGAGGACCCGGGCAACTATAGGCCCGTCAGTCTTACCTCAATCCTGGGGAAACTCTTTGAGAAGATCATCAAGGAGCACATTTGTGATGGGCCGGCATCAGAAATGATGCTCAGGGGCAATCAG